ATGCATTAGATTTCGGTATATTTTATGATGAAGGGCGTTTAAATAATTATAGTCAAATATAAATGGAGGTACAAGGGTAACACGTATAAATATTTGAGTTAAAATACTTGAGTTAATATGAATTATGCTTGATGACTGTGGAAGAGATGCACAAAAATCTTTTGTAACCAACTGATACACTTTCTACTGTATGTAAAGAAGGAAGATTTTATGTGTTGTGTTTGTTTTGAAAATAAAAATAAATTCTATTTTTTTTAAAAAAAATATTTGAATCCGAAGAATTACCTGGAGATATTTGATTACTTTGCTGTTTTGTATCTTGGGATATTCTTCATAAAGCCATTTTGGTGCTACCGAGCTAACCATTTTGTTAACCCTTGAAAAAAAAACACAACATGTTAACTTGCTTTTTAAATGACGGATTAGAATTCACATTCTTAACTGAGAGAAATATCAATGTAATTTTCAACACTCATTGTGGCTGCATATTCTTGTCTTCAACTATAGATAATCATAATGCAAATCTAAACAGGTGTTGGTAAAGAGCTATGAGCAGCTATTAAACCAATACGTCTTCTGCTACTAACTTTGCATATCCTCTTTTCACTCCTCTTTCTTTCCATTCACCATTTTTTTTTATCTTCAAAGATGATGGGAAGAATACGAAAGGAATGAGAGGAAGTGCTAGGAGCAAAAGGTTTCTTTTTGAAGCAGTGTTATTCAGCTCAAATGCTTTTTTATATCAACTTGTTTTGCAAGCTGCTTTTAAGACAGTCACTCACACTGCGAGACAAAGATTCTTGTCCTGCTTCAATAAAGGAAATCAAGATTGATACAAGATAGTCCTTGACTTCAGACTCGTCACTTAGCAACCAAATGAAATTATCATGAACCAAAGCTACGGTACTTATGACCAGTTTTGAAGTTAAGCTGGGGTGGAGTGGGTAGTAGGCCCAAAGCCTTAGGGGAGCCCAACGAATGGGAAGTATGGCATGAGGTACTTCAGGGAGCCCCACGCCTCCCAAGCCCTCCTGCAGTCTCTGAGGCCTGTGCTAGACTTCCCAGGACATCTTCTACCCCTGAGGCACCCTAGTCTCTGCTCAACATCTATATCAGGGAGAGCAGGTGGGAATTGTTGAGTGGATCATGTGAGTGCCTCCCTTAATGATTGTCATGATTTGTACCTGTAATGGGCGGTCTTTGTTATGGTCATAACTTGAGACCTACCTGCATTGGGCCTGTACATTCCCAAATTATGCTCTCAAGAAATGGGCAGTTACATTCATTTGACACATCAATAAATAAAACTAAACTTTCATTAACCAAAGCCTGGGACAAAGAGTGATTGGTACCTTTTTCTGCACGATTTAATTGCAATCAAAGTGAAAACAGAGATTGATAAGAAAGCCACTCCAACACCAGTTCCCAACAGAATCCCAGTATCGTAATCATCATTGCCTGAGAGAGAGAGAAAGATGGGGAAGGGAAGGGAAAGATGAATATACAAATTTTATATCACACCCATGCATTCTGCATGAATTCAGAATAAAACAAGCAAGAGAGTGCAACTCCTGGGTTTTTTAAAAAACAACAACAACAACTGGATAAGTGTTATCATCTGCTGGAGAAGAGGATAATTGCCAGATTCTAATAAATAAGACTCTAGCAAGGTCCTTTGTTTTAAAACAGTTTTACTACTGTTTCTGGCAGATAAGAAACAGAAGACTAGGGACAATACTGCAAGTAAAGAGCAGTTGGATACATGTTTTATTTTCTTTGTCAGCTTTTTAAACAGTAAACCACTCAACGCAACACTACTTGCGTTTCTAATTAAAAGCCACAGATTTCAGCCGAATATTTTTTTCCCCAGTTAAACAAAGAATAAAACTCAGTAAATTGCGCCCAGATTTATATACAGAACAGAAAGCTTAATGAGTTGTGGCTTCAAATCTGATTGGGCAATCTACAGCCCATTGTAGATCAATTGATAAAGTTAGTGGATTTTTTTTTCTAGCATTCTGGCTCCCCCCCTGTAATGGTAACATTTTTTGACCAAGAGCTCAGCAGAGCTATCAATTGATCAGCAGGTGTTTTAAATAGCTTTTCATGTGGGATTTGTCATTTCTGGTAATGCCCTAATGATAGATTCATTCAAATTATTACATCCCATTTATTTCTATGGTTCTATGTAAGTTGAAACAATATTATTCAAAGTAGACATTATGGAGAACAGTGAACTCCCAAGCACCTATGTGTAGAATTGTAGTTATGAGGACTTATTAAAATTAAAACATGCTTATTTCCTTGATTGTTTTGGTTGTCTCATTTTGAAATGTTGCACTAATATTTTATGATCCAGAGTGTTATGAATGTGATCTCTCTATGGAGGGGATCTAAAGACAACTGCTTGGAATAAACCAAGTGAAATCAATGAAACTTCAGTTGACCACGCAAAAGAATTCCCAAAAGTTATTGAGGAATAATTGAGTTATTTCACTACAAAATTATTGAGGAATCTTTCTTAAGGAGGCTAAGATGAAGAGAAACATGTTTGGGTTGCAATGAAAGCAATCCTACTGCAGAGAGTCTTTTCTCATCTCACAGTGGTTTCTATTTGGTTTCCTGTTCTGTCTGTATTTAAATCTTTTTTTTAAAAAAGTCTTATTACTTCTTACACTTTTAATTTTTTTTAAAAAGTGTTTTTTGTTTAAGTAATATTTATTGTCCCACCTTTATTTTTGTTTTTTTTAAAAACTACCATATTTTTCGCACTATAAGATGCATCCCCCCCCCCACAAAAGTGGGTGGAAATGTTTGTGTGTCTTATAGATCAAATACTGCGCCCGGGGAGAGGGGGGTTGTGCGACAACGGCATTTGCCCCTGCTGTCTGTCACCGCCGCTGCCTGTCACTGCAACCTCCTGTCACAGCTGCCGCCTTTCACAGCTGTTGCCTGTCATCACCGCTGCTACCTGTCACTGCCGCCACTTGTCACGACTGCCGCTGTTCGCCACTATTTGGGAATGCTGGAGCCTTTGCTGCCGAGCAGCTGATTAGTGATCGGATCAGCCTCTCGGAATACTGCCGATCAGCTGTTATAGGCGGCAGGGATCACAGCCACTGATCATCGCCATTCACCGCTGATATTCACTGCTGTCAATCACTGCTGATCACCACTGCTGCCAGTGATCGAGAGTGTCAGTAAATAGTGCCATCAGTGACTGGCGGTGGCACTGGTAAATGGCAGCGAATGGCATTGGCGATCAGTGGTGATTGGCGGCAAATGGCGGTGAATGGTGGCAGTAGCAAAAGGCAAATTGCAGCGGCAGCAGTGATAGGTGGTGATGATCCCCGCCACCTAGAACAGCTGATCAGTGGTATTTCGGGAGGCTGATCCAACCACCAATCAGCTGCTCAGCAGCAAAAGCCCCAGCATTCCCTGACAGTGGCAGAAACTCCGCTCAGTTGACTGGTGGTGGGTGCAATGGAATGGAGCCCTGATGAGTCATGTGCTGGGGCTGCGATAACGTGCTGACCAGGCTGTTTGCTGTTTGCTGCAAGGATGCTGGCCAGATGAATACTGGATGGATGCTGGGAGGCAGAGGCAGAATTTTTTTCCTTGTTTTCGTCCTCTAAAGCTAATGTTTGTCTTATGGTCCGGTGCATCTTATAGTGCAATAAATATGGTAAGTTATCTTGTTCCCTTTCATGAGTTTCTTGACTTTGGTCATTAATGGGTTTCCAAAGATAGTTATAGTAATTTATTAAATTACATTTAATGGTAGAAGTTCTTGTTTTTTATAATTTAAATTCCCCCTGGACCTATGAGAAATGGAAATCAAAGCCCCCGGATTCCTCTGAGTGTCCTGCTTGCCCTGGAGGAATGATGTCCCACAAACCATTTACATGACATGAACACATTATGTCATCCTCAATCCAGTGGTGGGATTCAAATCATTTAACAACTGGTTTGCCCAGGGTCAGGTTGGCTGTTGTGGGAGGCATGGCCATGAAAGGCATCCCTGTCCTTCAGCTCTGCTGCACAAACTGACCCTGCGTGAACAGGTTGTTAAATCCCCTGCCCATTCTCAAAGTAGACCCTGGGTGCTGCGCTGCAATGGGAAATGTAGCAGCCAGAATGAGAGAAGGAGGGAGAGTATGGAGAAGAAAGAAGGAACACGGTCTTCTCCTCTTATGCCAGCAGCTCTGTTGCCTGTTTCTCCATTGCAGTGCAGCACCCAGGATCCACTTTGATAAGGGTGGGGGTGGTAATTTAACAATTGGTTTGCCCAAACTGGTGTGAATCGGCTAAATCCCACCACTGCCTCAATTTATCCTTGAACACCAGAAAATCAGCCTCCACCCATCTTTCCTTGCACCAGTTCAAAAGTGCTCTTGCAAAGTAATTTTTCAAAGCTCCAATTCCTTCCCCCTTTCTAAAACTCATTGGCACCATTGTTGCCTTACTTTTTAAGTAGATAAAACCTAGAATCTAGCAAGTTCATCTTCTGCGTTTGGCCTCTGTTTTCCCTATTGATGGACTGACCTATGTCCTATCCCTGCTTCCCATCTCCCAATCAGCATTTATTGAGAACTTTTTGTCATCGTTCTCTTCCCACAGCGTTACCATTTCTCCTGTTTCTTGAGCAAAAAGGGGAGAATAATGGAACTCTTGTCAAATGCAACTGGTTAAATAAATGAACAAACAAACAAAAGACAGCCTCCTGCCACACTGTTCCATCAATGTCAATAAACAAATAAATAAGGTAGAAGGCTCAAGATTGAGGAAGACACATACTCTCCATGGGTGAGAAAGGACTTTTTTGTCTACCCTTTAATTATTTCATTGGTGAACTAGTGAACTAGTACAAAAGAGGGCCACCATTTCATTGTTTCATCAGAGGCCATCAAAAAACACCAGCTTTCCACTAGTCCACTACTGAATTTGTAAAAGAAAGGGCCCCAGTTGACCAAGATCAGCATCCAAAAGGGAGGAGACATTTTTGCCAGAGCACACAGTAATCAAGTAGTGTGGAGAAGTTTGTCCACAATTAATTGAAGCGTAGCAGATGATACAACCCAGTAGGAAAAAAAAGGCTGAAGGTGCCTTCTCAGTGGGAGTGAATAAAAGATGCAGCTGGCTTTTCCTAGCCTTGAGAAATGCTTAATAGCCTTTACTTATGCTGACCATCACATGCCCCAGTTTTTACTCATCAAGGCTCCTGTGCAATTGCTCATATGGAACCTTATTGGGAAGAATATTTTGCAAATTGCCTAGGCAAATGTATTTATAGTAGGAGAATGCCATAATCTTGATTCACTTTACTTTGTGAAGAGACCTTTGCAAATTCACAGAGCACCATAAGCTTGGGTGAGATGGCAGATGGGGGTAGTGCAATCGTGATTGGCCAGCCTGAAGCAGGATTAGAACTGTTTGGCTAAATCCAAAGGACCAAACCTAAACAATAATTGACTGGTGGGGTGGTCTCTGAATTCCATACATACAAGAAAATGACTTTCTGAAAGGGTTTGAGATCTTCAGGTAATGATGACTATGTGGAGGGCTTGGGAGCTGATTTTATAGTATGTCGTGAATTATATTATTGGGAAATGAAACAGCTTTCTCATTTCCTGTAGAGCAGGGATGTCCAACCTTGCCAACTTTAAGAACTGTGGATTTCAATATCCAGAAGTTCTGGGAGTTGAAGTTGACAAATCTTAAAGTTGCCAAGGTTGGATACCTCTACAGTAGAGTAAACCAAGCCAAGAACTCATTTTAATTATCATGCTGGTTTGGATGCACACATTTTCTATTCAAGAATTCAGTCAATGACTGACAATTTAACAGTGGAGGTGCCCATATGTGTTTGTGCGTGCGCGTGTGTCTGAATCAGGGGGTGGTTCTGGCTGGCTTTACTGCCAGGTTGTGCTTGCACGCACATGTGCAGTTTAATTAAAATTGTTCTGCACATGCGCAGAACTCAAAAACAAGATGGTGGTGATGACCAGGGAAGTGGTTTGGGGGCATGGCAGTCCTGGATCACTGCTGGTTCCGCGATCCAGGCCACCATACCGCTACCGGTTCTTCCGAACTAGTTCGAACCAGTAGGAACCCACCTCTGGTCTGTATGTATGAGATCTAGATGGTTCCAAGTTGTGAGTAATCATAGGTTACATCTTTAGATCTTTAACATGTGTAAGCAATCTGAAGTTTTATTTTCTTGGAATCATGTCAGTGCATGCTATAAACATTTACTGCCACTTTGAAATGTCAAATGTTGCAAAAGCTGTGCATTCTGATCAGACAGAAAATCTCTCCCCCTGCCCGCCTCCAATTATTAGAATTCTTTCCTACCCCTGGTGACTGCAAGGCTCCTTTCTTGGGAAATGTCAAGTTCTTTCTTTTCTTTCATCAATGCTACCCAGAAAAGAGAAAAAAAAATATAAGAAAGTGAGAATGAATGAATTCCTCTGTAATGTGAGAACAAGAATGATTCATTTAAAGTATCCTGCAAACATTATATTGATTTTGCATGAAAATCATCTACTCAGTCACTATGCTAAATCTTTGGCTTGCAGGACCTACAGCACTACTATAAGATCCAGCCAGCAGTCACACTTCCTACTGATCGGGTTTTTTGAGGGAAAGCCTAGAGAACTTTAGAAATAGCATTAATGCTGGGTTATTCCATAAATCTTGTCATCATGTGATTCAATAACTTTCACTTGACTTCCAATTGTCATTCAGCTCACAATTTTGATCATAAATAGTGACAGGTGAATGCCAGTTTCTGGCAAAACATTAAAATTGCAATCATATGATTCCAAACAGCCATAAATGCAGGCTGGTTGCCAGGCACCCAAAATGTGGTTACATAACCACAAAGAGGCAGATATTGGAACTTCAAATCCAAATTTTCAGGCTCTGTTGTAACTAAGTGACTACTTGTAAGATCACTTAAGGACTACTTGTATAACAACAATAATCATCATCATTTTATCCAGAAAAGAGAGTTATTTTTTGACTTTTTCATTTCTTCTACCAAGCAGCAAAAAAAGTTTTAAATGCTCCTTTTAAAGAACATAATTCTCTCAGTTTTCACATGAATGGACTAAGATGTCATCTTAAATTTGAAATGACATTTTGTTCAAAGCTGTGTTAGAATGAAAATTAAATTGCCAGAGTTTTAAAAGGGAAATTCTGTTACCAAGGTTTAAACGTCACAGAAAAACTTAACAAGAACACATGAACAATCAATATCAAAAACACATTTCTGCAAGATTTTATCTGTGTAAAATATTTACCATCCTTGATTGGTCTTACAGGACTTAGGGAGATACCATATTTTCACTTTGGGAAAAATGTCTTCTACAGTATCAGTTTTCAGCTTGCCACAAGGGCTTAATATAAGAAGTACAAGTATAAGATCATAATGTAAGACTCCAGCATGATAGAGGATAGAAGAATTCCTTCTTTAAGGGCACATCAATTGCTTTTGTACAATGAAAGTTCAGCCTTCACTAAAAAGGTATCTAGCAGTTATCTTCACGTAACACACATAATAATCACAATGATTTACAGTGAAATTGTTGGGTTCTATTGTAGTTAAGTGAGCACTATCTGTATATGACACTTGTGATTACTGAGGATATTTGAAGATATTTTTCATTCTTTCATTACAACATGAAGTGTCTCTTCCTTGAACAGTCCTTTTCTTGGGCTCAATTCAATTTCTCATTTTATAATAGTAATGAAACCCCATCAGAAAAACACTGGTGGTTCAAGGCAAGAGTCTTTGCTTCAAATTTTGTTGCTAATTGTGTTAAATGAATACACAACCTCACGTTAATTTTTCCCAATGTTTCTTTTTTTCCTTTGAACTCTCAGAACTTTATAGTCAATCAGGAGTCTTCAGAAAATGGCATGCTGAGTTGTAGGGTGATTTTTTTTCTCTCCTACTGACAAACAGCTGACTTTGCTGCCAAAGCCGATTCTTTGGCAGCACAATCCCTGGATTTTGAATGTGAAAAACTTGGAATAACCCACAATGACCCATGGATGACTATGTACTTGCCTGGAAAGAGGATTCAGCAGCTCATGATTCTCAGTAAGTGTAGCTTGAGGGTATGGTTTCCATCTTTTCAAGTCATTGTTTCTTTTTTTAGGCGCACCTCTACTTAAACATTGTTTTGGTCCATGGACTGGATCTTCTTAAGAACGATGAAGGAGCTTTAAGAATATACTTATTATATATAGCCAGAAGATAACTCTTGGGGGATGTTATGATTTGGTTCATAGGAAAACCTACTGAACAGAAATATTCTACAGAAATATTCTCAACCGAGACTGATGGCTTTGGGGAGTGAGATGTAACTATGTGGAAGATCCCAGTTATAATTTCAAGGAAAAGTTTATTGTCAAGTATCAACTGAGGATATTTGATTCTGGATGGCTCAGAGATAATGATTGCAGTAGGTTTATGGTAGTCTAAAAGCTGTTTATGGCAGTGGTGGGATTCATTTTTTTTTTACTACCGGTTCTGTGGACGTGGCTTGGTGGCCATGGCATGGTTTGGTGGGCATGACAGGGAAAGGATACTGTAAAATCTACATTCCCTCCCCATTCCAGGGGAAGGTTACTGCAAAATCCCCATTTCTTCCCGATCAGCTGGGACTTGGGAGGCAGATTTTATTTTAAATAAAAGAATTTTATTGTCATCCACTACAGTACAGACATATTGCAAACAAAAGTGATACAATGTCCTTTTTACTGAGTTCTGAATCATAATAACGTTTTTCCAGTGTTTTCAGTATCAGTATGATTTTTCTGTGGGTAGAACTAGAGAACAAATTTTACTCAATCTTCAGAATCTTCCACAAGTTACCAAAATACTATAAATGTATGATTTTATCAGAACTGCCAACTTTATTTATAAGAATCAGTTTCTTTTTATCACCAGAGCTGAGATATCAATCTGAATGGCTGTTTTTAACTTTTTATTATCGCAGTGGCTTAAGGTGATTGGATTTTGCACATCCTTATGAATTTATTTCTATTTCATTGCTTTTCTTCTTCTTCTCTATTTCATTGTCTGAAAACAGACTGTCTACGGATAGTCCTCGATTTAGGACTACAATTGAGCCCTACATTTCTGTTAATGAAACATCTGTTAAGTGGGTTTTGCCCCATTTTATGACCTTTCTTGCCATAGTTGTTAAGCAAATCATTGTAGTTGATAAGTTAGTAATATGGTTGTTAAGTGAATCTGGCTTCCCCATTGACTTTGCTTGTCAGAAGGTTGCAAAAGGGGATCACATGAACCTTGGACACAGTAATGGTCATAAGTATGAACCGGCAGCCAAGTACCTGGATTTTGATTACATTGTCATATGGATGCTGAAACAGTTGTAAGTGTGAAAAATGGTCATAAGTCACTTTTTTCAGTGCTGTTGTAACTTTGAATGGTCACTAAATGAACTGTTGTATGCCGCCTTCTCAGTGAAGGACAAGAAACTGAAAGATTAGGTCTGCATCCACTACTCTGTATTTCATTAGGTTGCATGATTGGATGATATGTTCAGTGGTGCACAAGAATTTTTAATTCTTTTGCCTTCTTGACAATACCTATACATCCCTTTACATCATGAATCCAGCAGGGAATTGTTGTTGTTGTTAGTACTTGCGAAGTCATGTCCGACCCATCGCGACCCTATGGACAATGTTCCTCCAGGCCTTCCTGTCATCTACCATTCTCTGGAGCCTTTTAAGCTCATGCCTACTGCTTCAGTGACTCCATCCAGCCACCTCATTCTCTGTCGTCCCCTTCTTCTTTTGCCCGCAGTCTTTCTCAGCATTAGGCTCTTCTCCAGTGAGTCCTTCCTTCTCATTAGGTGGCCAAAGTATTTGAGTTTCATCTTCTGGATCTGGCCTTCTAAAGAGCAGTTAGGGTTGATCTCCTATAGGACTGACTAGTTTGATCACCTTGCAGTCCAAGGGACTTGCAGGAGTCTTCTCCAGCACCAGAGTTCAAAGGCCTCAATTCTTTGGCGCTCAGCCTTTCTTATGGTCCAGCTTTCACAGCTATAAATTGCAACTGGGAAAACCATAGTCTTGACTATACGCATGGAATATTGAGAGGTTGAAAACAAATCTCTCTCTCTCTCTCTCTCTCTCTCTCTCTCTCTCTCTCTCTCTCTCTCTCTCTCTCTCTCT